GAAGCTGTACCTAAAACATGGTCTTTGCTGAAACAACTATTTTTTAAGTTAAGTTTGGTAAATAATAAGCTAACTATACAATATAAAAAAAGTAAATACTACGTAAATAAAAAGAGCAAGTCCACTAAAAATACAACATGGCACATCACAAGCTACAATCCCCCAGTTGCAAGAGAGCAAGGAAGGAGTGAACTTGAAAACTAGTTCAACCTTTATAAGGTAGAGGCCGGATCCTCTGCTACTCGTCCCAGTCACATTGGAAAACCTATTCCTTGACTATTTTAACCTTACTTTTCTAAATGAAAATAAACAAGCAAAAAAATTACAGTATTGGTTAACTTAATATCCAAGTCATATGGTGAGAGAATGAAAGTCTAGAAATAAATTTTGAGGCCCGGAGCCCATAATAAATATTTGTTTTTAATAATTAATTATATGAAGTACTTATATATATATATATTTTTATTTCACATGTAAAAGCTTGCTCAAATGTTAGATGATTGGGCTCGTCCCAACAAGTCTTGAAAATTCATTCCCAACTTGCCAATTCATACACACAATTGAGAGGGACGATCTCATCAACAAATCATATGACTTCGGTTAGTATCACGTTGTTCTGTTTCCTTTGCAAGTTTTATAATATTCTTAATGGTTCATACATTTGTAGTGTAGTAGGGATTGCAGTAAATGGCATTTAGATCCATAGTATTAAGAACGTGGAGTGGTCTTATATGATCGAGAGACTCATAAAATTAAGTATCTTGGTTTTCGAATTGGGCTAATTACTTTCATAAATTATTAGATAATTCTGAACCATTGATATTTGATAAATCAGCTAAAAACAAACTCTCATATTGAGAAAATGATACCACAAGAAAAGAATGTATTAATATATTACAAAAAATTGTCATTGAATTAGTCTACCAAATATCAAATAGATCTAGATCATTTAATAATTTATCCGTGAAGATGAGATGGCCACATAGATTCAGTTGAAAAGTAAAATTAGTATAAATAAGTTAAGTATTAGTTCTACTTAATAATTTAAAATTTTAAATCCCATCACCAAGCACCCTCCGCTGCCATGCCAAACCGTCATCAAATTTAAATGGAAGATGAAATGAGTACGACGAAATGAGTTACAGTATTTTTTTTTTTTTTTTGTCTCTTTTTTTAAAACTAAAGTAACATAATAATTTAAATAAATTATATTGTAGGATCTTATCCCCATTTTATTTAGAACCTAGAAGGATAAAAAATTACATAATTATAAATTTACATAATTGCATAATTATAACCCAAGGAGTATTTTTTTAGATCTATTATCTTATTTAATATATATATATATATATAAGCAATTTAAGTAAACTAAAAAAATGTCAAAAAAAATAAAATACACTCATTCTAATTAAATGTATCTAAAAAATTGATATTCCTATTATTCACTTCACTTTAATTTTTCACGTTTTTACTGTTAATATTTGTCTAACCAAAACAAAACAAAACGATAAATTTAAAAGTTAAATAAAAATATAGCATTAGTTAACAAATGGGGAATAGTTATTTTAGATAAATATGATAATAAATAATGTTACCACCATTCCCCCACGTCACCAGCCCATTTTGTGACGTCTATCTTTTGTGTAGGGTCGGTGGCAAAATATTTTTATCAGGTTGCTATGTATACCTTTTTCACCGATTTCTGGAGATATCTCGATGTTGCTTTGCCAAGTTCAGTCAACCTGAGCCGCCATTCCTACATGAAATAGATTTTGAAACTTCTTATTTATATCTCCTCTCTTGTGATTCATGTATGTGTTCCGGTGAAAAGGGAAAATTACATCCCAGACTAAATATAAAGTCTTGCTATTTTATCATTTTATTTATTGGTTAATAGTTGCATTTAAAATGATATAATATATCAAGAGTTGTAGTCTAGTGTACTTTCTTACCTTTTAAGATAGAAGGTTGAGGATTGAAATCTCTATGGGGGCAAATTGGATGTGTTAGTATGTTTCTTGGGGGATAGGATAAATAAAATGATTGAACATTAAAAGAAAAGTTACATTTCCCTTCTTTAATCAAACCCTAATTTTTTTCTTCAAAATTCTTTCATGTTTTTTTTTTCTTCTTCTCAAAATTCTTCTTTTTGCACTTAGGTGTGGTGTATGTATGTAACATTTTTTCTCTACTTCAAGTTAGTTACTCTAATATTTTTGTGAATAATGATATATTATTTTAATCTTGATTAATGCACTGTTATAGTAGTTTTATTTTTGAATTATTGTATTCTTGCGGTGTTACTTGTCATGTTAGGAAACAAGAAATAAAAATTTAGCACGCTCAATATGCTTCTCTTGAAATAGATTATTGGCTCCGTCACTGTTATGCTTCTCTTGAAATAGATTATTTGTTATGTCACTACCACGTGAGCTTAGAAAAAGTGACTGTCAAAAAGTAATAATGTCAATTTACGATATCGTATAAGTGGATAGGTAGGAGTGTCTTTTATTTACTTTACTAAAACTATGAGGAGGTAATTATTAAAAAATAGATGAATTTTTTGTATTTGTATTTGAGTGTCTGGAACAAATCACAAAGATGTCACTGTTTACCTAAATCAAAATGGGTAATTTACACAAACTACTTATATGATTTGTCATAATTATAAGGATCTTCTCTCCTGTTTTACTCTAACCACCCTTAATTTTAGAAAAAATCTACACGAACCTTCTTTCTGTTAGAGTCAATGACAGTCAACGACGAAAATTGATGACGTCATCTACTATTCTTACTAAAATTCCTAAAATACCCTTATCCCTACTAATTGTGTATATACATATATATATATATATATATATATATATATACACACACACACACACTTTGCATCCAATTCGACGGTGCCGTAAATTCCCCACCTGAGATTGGATCATAAAATGGCTGTGGAGAATGAACTTGTTGACATCAAGCCCTTTTTGAGCCTGTAGATTCTACAGGGGGTATGAGCCTGTAGAATTTTCATTTGGCAGTGGCTGGAAAGTTGAATCAGTAAGTCTTTGATTGCTTTGTGTGCCAGTTATTGATCATGTAGCATTTTTAACTATTAAGTTTGAAATGTACTTAAGTGCACTAGTGACTCTTTCTAAACCTTTTAACTGCATCATTGAATCATCGAAGTATTGTGGTAGTTATATCTTTTCATCTGATTCTGGAATGTAGCATGTCTTGGACATTGTTACTGTTGTTCATGATAAAAAGGACCTTCTTTTTTTCATCCTTATTTAAATGCAATGAGGAATCCATTATACTCTAGTTTAATGATTGGCGGTGAGCTCAAGGACAGTGCATGTACTAATATAAATTGTTAAAAATTTGTTTTGTGGATTCACTATTGAATAGGAAATAGTTATCTGCGTTCTATTATTGGATTTTGAGTCTGTTTTGTGAGAGTATGGCATGCATTATATTATTGGATTTTGAGTTTGTTTTGTGAGAGTATGACATGCATTTTGATTTTCCCAAACTTCTGCAACCATCTCCACATTTATTACAAAATGATAGATATGCCAATTGCTTATTAGCAGCCAAATATTATTTAGAGATCAAAATTTGATGTATGACTTGCTGTAACACTATATCAGATTATCAGCTACAACACTTAAATGCTAAAAATAATTCAACTATGTTAAAGATCCAATGAAGGAATGTACTTTTATGTTTGTAATAAGTTTTGATCTCAGTAACATAGATTGACGTGACTTCCATTCATTTATATACTTCTGTTTTGTGTTTCATAATCAACAAAAATGGTTCTTGAGAACTTGTGATACTGCCTTACAAAAACATTGAGGTCTGGGCAATTGCTAATCTCGGTTAATGTACCAGGATGAACACTTGCTGAAACACTATATCAGATTATGCCAATTGCTTATCAGTGGCCAAATATTATTTAGAGATCAATATTTGATGCCTGACTTGCTGAATCAGATATTATATATTATTATTTTTTTTAAATCTGCTTTTCTGTTTGTTTAGTTTTGATCTCAGTAACATACATTAATGTGACTTCCATTCAATTATATACTTTGTTCTGTGTTTTATAATCAACAAAAACGATTCCTGAGAACTTATGATACCTTAAAAAACATTGAGGTCTAGGCAAATGCTCATCTCAGTTAATGTGCATGGGGCATAAACCAAAATATATCAGCATATTAAGTTGTGATTTTATTCCTTATGTCCCATATTCTTTTTCTAGAAAGCAGGTGGACCCGAGTCACCTTTTCATTTGTTCCAACATATGCATAGAGTTCGTTAAAAGAGTATTTCAATGTGGAATATGATGCATTCCTGTCTGAGTTCTTGCTGATTTTATAAGATATTAGCTTGCTATGTCGCACGCGCATCTCTCTCTCTCTCACACACACATATATATATGAACTGCACAGTCGGCCATTATACTGTAGCACATAAATTGAAGTTGGATTCGGACTTGTTCATTCAGTAACACGAGCTAAACTTGAGTAGACTCGTAATTGTACATGGTTTAACCCATAAAAGTACAAGTTTGGGCCAGCTCACATTATGGCCCAAAGAGTTGATAATTCACTAGTCCATTATTCCTACTTACATCGTTTCGTTGGTAAGACCGAAAGAGTTGACCCACGTTAATAAGATTTCATCAGAGCCATTAGATTTTGATACATCTCAACCGTTAGAATCTCTCCCTCTCCCTCTCCCTCTCCCTCTAGGATCGTAAAGTCAAGCATTGCCTAATCTTGAGGATTAAGTTTCCTAATCCTAGTCAGAAACAGAGAAAAGGAAAGTAAAAATCTATTTATTACCTTCCAAGTTCGTACTAATCTCACATGTATATAAAATTGCTCTCTTTTTCTCTTTCTGAAAATACAGCAATCAATCTTTATGAATGTGCATGTTTGTTTTCTGGACAAAATTTCTCTTTTTCTCTCTGACAAACAATTGGAAAATCAAATCCAATGGAGAAAACCATCAGACACACTCCAATATTTGCTGAAGACGCAAGGTAAAAATTTACAATTTTTTTTTTTTTTTTTTTTTTTCTTATGTATATGTATATGTATATGTATGTTTATATTTATTTTATTTTCAGAAGAAGAATTTTTGTTACGAAAATTGAGCATTACCGTGCTGTTTCTGTTATCATCCTTTCTCAATAAATATTTATATTTTATTTTTTTATTTTTTATTTTTACATTTAATTGAAATAGTGAGAAGGTAGATAAAGGAGGGTTGTGTTTGGAGGATCACATTAATGGACTTCCTGATGTTGTCCTTGTTTCAATATTGTCACTCTTGACAATGAAAGAAGCTGCAAGAACTAGTGTGCTTTCAAAGAAATGGAGGTATTTGTGGACTCACATTACTGTTTTGCACTTTGATGCCCCACATCTTATAGATGGAATTCTACTGGAAGATAAGGAACTTAAAGTAGAAAGACTTTTGTATTTGAGTTGGGTTAATCAAGTCTTGAAATCGAACAACAGTCCAAGTGTGGATGAATTTAGAGTTCATTTTGATCTTGATGAAAGTTGTAGCCTTGATATTGACAATTGGGTTAACTTTGCAATAGAAAAGAGAGTTAAAAGGCTCGAGTTAGAATTGTCAGAAATTTGGAGAACCTCGGAGGGTTACAGTTTTCCAGACACGGGCTATATTACAAGTCACCTGCACTCATTGTCTCTTGGGTTTACTTGCTGGAACTCCCTAACCGATCTCCGGCTGGCACATGTGAATATAACTGGACAAGTTCTTGAGTACTTCTTAAGTAACTGTACATTTTTGGAACAATTGTCTGTGCAAAACTCTGACCTTCTGGTAAATTTGAAAGTTCCTAATACATCGCTGAAATTGAAGCGATTGGAGATTATTTACTGCTTCGATGTGGAAAATATTGAGATTTTTGCAATGAATCTCATGTCATTTAAATACTTCGGACCAAAAATAAACCAGCCATTTAAGAATGTCCCGTGGCCTGTTGAAATGTATATCGGGGGTGAATATAGCAAAGAACTACTTTATAACTTTTTGGAATTTTCAAGCTATCTCTCTCAGCTAGAGAGCCTTACATTGGATGTTACGATGATGCACTTGATCTCCATCCATGACTTTGTAAGTTTAACTAATTAATTTTATCTCTTCCCTTTCATTTTTACTTTATTCTTTTTTTAACATAATTATAAATGTGTGCTGATTTACTTTTCTTTTATTTGGTTTATTCAGTTTATTATCGACGAGTTTCCAAAATTTCCTGTATTTCATAAGCTCAAGCAACTGAAGTTGAAAATTGATGATTCTTATGATGAAAGCCTTGTTATTTTTACTCCCCTAATAGAGGCGTGTCCTTTCTTGTGTAAATTTGTGTTGGAGGTAATAAGTCTTACTTTTCAACCTGCTTTGTGATGTTTATTACTTCATAATTGAATTTTCAAATGTTGATTCAATAGGACTTCGGCTTAAAAGCTTTCAATTATTCCAAGTAATTGCTTCTTTTTATGTCTATTACAAAATCACACTGTTACTAGTAATAGGAAAAATGTTCTTACAGTGTTTAGCTTGCTCTATTCTCCTGGTTGCTCAAGTTTTTTTAAAATGAATACCTATCATTATGTTTCCCATTTTGATTTAACATTTATTGCCTAAGAGTTTTACATGGTTGTTTAATATGATACACATCCTAGGATTGCTTTGTTCTCATCATTGTGAATCCATCTTATGTCATTCCTAAAGCACCCCATGACTCCATTCCTCCTTGTTACAGCTTACATGGATCGGCTCCAATGTGCATAGAAAATGGCAAGGGGTTAAATTTTGGCCCCATCAGTACCTTAAGGAGGTGGAATTTATTGGGTTCGTTGGGCAGATGATTGATACTGAGCTTGCCATGTATTTAATTAAGGGTGCTGTCAAGCTTGAGAAGATTACTTTTGATTCTCGCAATCCATCTCTTATAGGAACCCCATGGGAGTTTATGGAGACCAAGCGGAGAAAAAAAGCCAGAAAACGTGCCGAGAAGTTTCGAACCAAACTTCCTGCTAAAGTAGCTTTGGTTATCCTATAATTGCATGTTTGTAAAACCTATTGCTTCTACTACTTCTCTTTTAAATTTATTTGATATTATGTAGTATTGGATAGTTGAATGTTGGGCAAAAGGCTTGATTTGATATTATATATGGGATAGTTTATTGTTTGGGAAAAGGCTTATAGTAGGTATTTGTTACAAGATGATGTAGATATATATAATAGTAATAATGGGTTGTGTAGAAAAATTTAAAAAATTTTGACTTTCTATGTAAGGCGGTATAAATGCTAATGAGTACAAAACCTTTGACCATACAGTATCACTTATAGCCCATTTCACCATCATATTAACTCGTTCATATTCGTGCTTTTTAATAATTTTGGATAAACCATATTCAAAATGGTTTAAAATAAAATAAGTAATTTTTAACCACTTAATTTGAATGTCAAAATGAGTCTAATATGATTACCCATAATAGATACACAACACATATCTATTCTATATTACACTCAATTCATTTCTCTTTTTAAAATTAAATCACTATTAGAGCTGCAAGTTGGGTTGGCCCAACCTAACTCAGTCCCAACCCAACCTCAACCCAAAATCGGGTTGGGTTGAGCAGGCTAAATATTTTGGACTGGTTTCACGAGAATAGATATATATATATATATAGTCCTAATCTCTTACTCCCCATGGAGTAAGAAAAATAATCCATACTTTCTATATAGACTGTTAGATTAAATCTAACGGTCATTTCACAAACCCACCTATAGCCTTTTCTTTTAACACAAAACAACTCTCACCATATTTTTAGTTTCTATAATTAATTTTACCATTACCACCTACTGTAACAATAAAAGGTAATTATCAAAATAAAAATAGAAACCTTTGAAAAAAAATTAATTCCCGTATATTTTACTAATAAATTTGTTTTTATTTAGATGTTTATATCTTTCGGCTTTCACCTCTATTTTTCACGATTATGTCAAACAAAGAAGAATTACAAGAGAATTGATAGGAATTAGGCGGTAATCGCAGGCTAAGGCTCTTCTTTATTTATTTTGTTTTGAAAAAGTAAATTTGTTTTCCCTTTAAATCTTTAAGTTATGTGTGGCTCCTTATTCTAATTATTATTCTTCAACCTCCTTTGCCCAGTTTTATAAATCACTAATTCAATACATAAAGTAAAAATCTTGTTGCATTAATTTTAATTGATTCAAATATAATTTTAATCCAGAGCAAGCGTTTATTTTTCTTTGTTTTCCTAATACACCTCTTGCATTCAAACTATCTCAAGCAATTCTAGACCCTTAACAAAAACCGTAGTCACTCACCTTAATACTTCTAATTGATAGGTTTGCTTGCTGATTTTCAGAAAAAAATAAATAAATAAATAAATTAGAGGGACCTTTGACAATGATAATTGACATGGTGTACATATCTCGAACATCATATCTTTTCAAATGTTTCTATTTTCATTTTGATAATTATTTTTTATTGTTACAGTAAGTGGTAATGGCAAAATTAATTATAGAAACTAAAAATATGGTGAGAGTGGTTTTGTATTAAAAGGAAAGGCCGTAGGTAAGTTTGTAAAATGACCCTTAGATTTAATCTAACGGTTTATATAGAAAGTGTGGATTATTTTTCTTACTACATGGGAAGTAAGAGATCAGGACTCATATATATATATTTACAAATATACAAATTACATTTTCATTTTCCAAGTTTGTAAACATCAAAATTTTTATTTTTTAAACATCAAAATTTTGGGCGGGTCGGTCGGGTTTCACGTGTCAAAATTTATTTATTTATTTTCAAATCTGCAAATTACATTTTCCTTTTCTATGTTTATAAATATCAAAGTTTTTAAGAAAAATTTATTTTTAAAATATCAATATTTTGGGTGGGATTCAAGAAAAAATATATATATTTTTTGGGCCGGTCGGTCGGGTTTCACAGGTCAATTTTTTTGTTTTTTTTTTTTTTTAAATATGCAAATTACATTTTCTTTTCCATGTTTGTAAACATCAAAGTTTATAAGAAAATTTTATTTTTAAAACATCAATATTTTGAGCGGGTTGGTCGGGTTTCACGGGTCAATTTTTTTTTTTTTTCCCAAATATGCAAATTATATTTTCCTTTTCCATGTTTGTAAACATCAAAGTTTTTAAGAAAATTTTATTTTTAAAATATCAATATTTTGGGCGGGACGGGTCAATATATATATATTTTTTCAAATATGCAAATTACATTTTCCCATGTTTGAATATGGATCTTGACCCATATTTGACCCGTCCATTTTCAACCCAACCCAAACCTGGCCCAACCCGCCCATTTGCCACCCTTAATAATAGGGCTGTAACTTGGGCGGATTAATCCACACCCAACCTAGAATTTTGAAATTTGAGCTTTAAATTCACGAGTTGGGCTCATGTTCAAGTTGGGTTTTGTCAAAACCCAGACATGTTCGGGTTGGGCTCGGGCTTAACCCGAACCCAACCCAAAATAAAAAATATTTTATTTTTTTTCTCCTTTCTCTCTCCTCTCTCTTCTTTCTCTTTCTCCCTGCCACCATCCCCTCTGCTGCCACCTCCAGCGGCGGCCAAGTTTATAGATCTAGTATCCACAAGAGTTTCAAGTTTTCAATCTCAAACGGGATCAAGCCAGAAAATTGATCCACCGCCGCCGCCGTCACTTTCAAAAATTAAAACAAAACCTATACATATAAGTTAGCAGTTGCAAAGAGAGGGGGGGGGGGAGCTTGAGAGTTGAGAGACAGTGGCTGAAGCTTGCGAACGACGAACCCGAACTGGAACAGCGGGCGATGGAAACTAAAAGATACGAGTTTTGATTTTTTGAACAATCTGCAATGATATGCCGATATGGGTTTTAATACAGGTAATAGGTTTTGAGCTTTTGATTCTTAGATAAATTGAAATATATGGGTTTTGAACTTTTGATTCTTGCAGATTTTGTAGTTTGCAATTACAGAGAGAGAGAGAGAGAGAGAGAGAGGACAAGTTCAGGGTTGAGACCAGGGATAGAAAATGGAGGCGATTGGGGAGGCTGAAATGATTTGCCCTAAAAATATTTTGTTTTTTTTAATAATAATATAATAAAATTATATAATCAAATATATATAATAAATTAAAAAAACTCAACCCGTCAACCCAACTCGCCCAAAAAATTCGGTTCGGGTAATGACCATAAACCATATTGGATACAATTCGGAATGACCCAACTCAACCCGATTTTGGGTTGAGGTTGGGTTGAGATTGGGTTAGGTTGGGCCAGCCCAACTTGCAGCTAGAAGACCTAGGAATAACGGAGAAAAATTGTCTCCGGACACCCTTTGCTGATGTGGCATGGGAGACATGACACGTATGTGCATAAAGTATTGTATGTATCTAATAGTCTCATATGTATCTGTACAAGACATCTGTATACACACAATCTTAAACTCGCTCTACGCCGACGGTGATCTTTCTCAGTCCGACGTAATAGTATACTGAAAATGCCCGTTTCTCGGCGACCACTGGATTTTTAAAGAACGGGGTGTAGCTGACATTGTCGGTCCTGTGGCCGGAATCTGACTCGCCGTCCAACACGAGCAAGCTGCTTTCACCGCTGTCGTCGAATTGGTGCGAGAGAAGGCAATAAGAGAACTTTCTGAGACCGAGTTGACTCGGCAGCGAGGCAGAGCCACGGCCGAACCCGGAAATTCCGGCGGGTTGACGGGAAGAGAAGAGAGAACAGCCGACGACGACGAAGTTGACGGGAAGAGAAGGAACAATTTTTGCAGAGGTAACTTTGAGTACATGGAAACCAATTGAAATCAGAAAAGGGATGGTTTGGGGTGGTGTGCCAAAGCTGAGTGAAATGGAGTAGCCTCCAATTGCTATATTGCCCCAAGCTAAACAGAGCTTTGAATTTTGCTTTACAGATTTACCAATTAAAATAAAATGGTGTCCTGTCCTTGTGTTCAAAAATTTTGAAGCTGTACCTAAAACATGGTCTTTGCTGAAACAACTATTTTTTAAGTTAAGTTTGGTAAATAATAAGCTAACTATACAATATAAAAAAAGTAAATACTACGTAAATAAAAAGAGCAAGTCCACTAAAAATACAACATGGCACATCACAAGCTACAATCCCCCAGTTGCAAGAGAGCAAGGAAGGAGTGAACTTGAAAACTAGTTCAACCTTTATAAGGTAGAGGCCGGATCCTCTGCTACTCGTCCCAGTCACATTGGAAAACCTATTCCTTGACTATTTTAACCTTACTTTTCTAAATGAAAATAAACAAGCAAAAAAATTACAGTATTGGTTAACTTAATATCCAAGTCATATGGTGAGAGAATGAAAGTCTAGAAATAAATTTTGAGGCCCGGAGCCCATAATAAATATTTGTTTTTAATAATTAATTATATTTAGTACTTATATATATATATATTTTTATTTCACATGTAAAAGCTTGCTCAAATGTTAGATGATTGGGCTCGTCCCAACAAGTCTTGAAAATTCATTCCCAACTTGCCAATTCATACACACAATTGAGAGGGACGATCTCATCAACAAATCATATGACTTCGGTTAGTATCACGTTGTTCTGTTTCCTTTGCAAGTTTTATAATATTCTTAATGGTTCATACATTTGTAGTGTAGTAGGGATTGCAGTAAATGGCATTTAGATCCATAGTATTAAGAACGTGGAGTGGTCTTATATGATCGAGAGACTCATAAAATTAAGTATCTTGGTTTTCGAATTGGGCTAATTACTTTCATAAATTATTAGATAATTCTGAACCATTGATATTTGATAAATCAGCTAAAAACAAACTCTCATATTGAGAAAATGATACCACAAGAAAAGAATGTATTAATATATTACAAAAAATTGTCATTGAATTAGTCTACCAAATATCAAATAGATCTAGATCATTTAATAATTTATCCGTGAAGATGAGATGGCCACATAGATTCAGTTGAAAAGTAAAATTAGTATAAATAAGTTAAGTATTAGTTCTACTTAATAA